CTCTCAAGGGCTCACAGTCTAGCAGGGAGGTGGGCAGTAGGCACACACAGCGACAGGGCCTCATGGTGAGGGCAACGGTTGGAGTCTGCATTGGGCCGGGTGTCAGCACAGGAGGGAGAACAAGTCATTCTGTCGAGTCAGGAGGGTGTCGGAGGAAGGGATACTTGAGCTGAATGTGGAAGGATAAAGGGAGGAATGGAGGATGGGACGAAGGCATTCCAGGAAGAAGGACCGTCTGCCCATGGCTTGGAGGTGTCCCTTATCACGCGGGCCCAGACCTGCTGAGGAGCACGCTCTGTGCTGCTCTCGGTTCCTTGTGGCTGCGAAAGACCCAGCGGGCGGCTGGGCCTGGGGCTGCAGGTGAGAGGAGACTGGGACACAGGAGAGCCCTTGCTGTCACGCGTTGGGGAGCCAACCCGCCTGGTTCCTTGTGCAGCGCCGCCACTGGTTTTGTGACTTCAGCCAGTTACTTCACGGCTCCATGTGTCGAAACTTAGTGTCTTCATCAGTGAAATAGGCACCAAAAGAGGATCTGCCTCATAACTGAGTTAATAGTCCAAGTAAAGCACTTGGAATAAAGCATTGCTCAGAAGTGTAGCTTTTTCCCCCCCGCAGTAAGCTGACCTCTACTTTGGGGAGTAAAGTTTCTGTCCCTGTCCTGAGTATCTTCCACTTTCTACTCTAAAGTCCATTGAAAGATCCTAATGAGGAAAGTGGCATTCTTTTTCAAGGATTTTTTCCCCTAATCACCATTATGTGAGCTACGGCTCAGAAACAATTCAGACCCTAATTCTTTAGCCTTAGGATGGCCCATTGTCTGCCTTTTTCATCCTGAGGCCCGCTGTCTTTAAGGCAGCGAGTGCCGAGCAATCCTAGGTGACCAGAATGTTGCGAGGGTGGATCGTGGCTGTTCTTTATGTACTGGAGGCCCTGGGGGTTCCCCAAGGGGTTCCCTCGGTGGAGGGCATCGGTGGTGTGAGAGAGAGGCTGGGGGGTCTTTCCCCAGTGCATGGAGCTGCCCTTGCGAACATGACACAGCCCAGAAGGGTCCTGCTTTCTTTCTTTCTTTTTTTTAAAGATTTTATTTATTTATTTGACAGAGAGAGACACAGCAAGAGAGGGAGCACACGCAGGGGGAGTGGGAGAGGGAGAAGCAGGCTTCCCGCTGAGCAGGGAGCCAGATGGGGGGCTCGATCCCAGGACTCTGGGATCATGACCTGAGCCCAAGGCAGACGCTGAACGACTGAGCCACCCAGGTGCCCAGGGTCCTGCTTTCTTACAGTCTCCTGCCTTCATTTCAGCTGTCCGAGACCACCGCCGAGTCCCACTTAATGGAGAAGGAATTGGAGGAGCTGAAGAGTGTCAGCCGCAGGAGGAAATGAGCCCCTGAAGATACTCGTTAGGAGAAAAGGACATTCATTAGGAGAAGTCCACCAACCAGAGGAGTGGGATGTGGCTGAGGGTGTTTTGTAGCCTAACTAGGGGATTAGGTACTGGGAGAGAGGGTCATATAATGGGGCGAAAGGCCCCCCTCAGGTTGGCAACAGGAAGGTACACCATTGCTGGCAGAAACCAGGACCCCGGGCCAGGGCGGTGAGCAGGAACGAGCCCTGGGGGGCTGCCAGTGGTCACTTCATGTACGAATGTGCCTTCCCAGGTTCCGCCTCGCTGGACTGATGCCGCTGGCTGAAGCAGCTGGACTTCATTGCCTCACCGCTCACGCTGGTGTTTGGGGTGTGGCAGGAGCACTTCTAAACAGCTCTGTGTTGGGGGCCTCCGATGAACAGCCCTCCTGGTTCTCTGCCCGCCCCCCCCCCCCCCGGGCTACTCTCTCTGTCCTTTAAAGAATACTTGTTCGCCGAATCCACCCCACTCTTCTGGCTTCAGCTTCTCAGTGGCGAGCCCCAGCCTTCCACGGCAACACTCTATTTTTGTGCTACTTTCCTGTTTAGTTTCTCAAAATTAAATGATGGTATATAATCTGTCTGTGGCCAAAGTGACTGAGAAAGTAGCAGTTCTTAAAGAAGTCAGTGGACCCTGGAGTCTAAGCTTCTGTTTGGCTGTCCAGAGACAGAGTTTTTAAGTTGTGGGGAAATGTCACCCCTGCAGGAGAAGTATTCCAGCTTCCTGGGCATCCGCCGAGGCTGACTGGAAACAGAACAGTCTCTCTGCCCACATTTCTCTGCTGTCCTTCAGAGATTTGGGACTAGCCTGGACCTGACAGGGACCGAGTCGTCGGGCAGTCTTGTCGAGTGGTCGGGGTGGGGGCCTGCATTCCTAGAGAGGGAATTTGCGCCTAAGTCTGTGTGAGCCAAGCTGCTGTGGCTGGAGGAGGGAGTCAGTAAGAGGGAACCCAGCTCCCAAAGTTAAGGGGGAGGGCACTGAGATGGGGACAGAGCCCAGAGCTTTAGCCTGGTGATGGCTACGATGGTCAGCAGTTTCTGAAAGCCTGTGACTTGTGTGGAACAGACCTCAGCACCTTGCCCTCCTACTCTTGTCTCCTGCAGCTTAGCCCTGTGAATGGGGGACTGGCAGCATGTGTCCTCAGAGGTAAGGAACCAGGTTCCAGGAAGTTCAGAAGCGCGTCCAGGATCATACAGAAGTGTGAGTCTGCTGACTCCCAGCTCCTGGTGAAAGGGAGGAGCTGGTAGGGAACAGCCTCTAATGGACCAGCTCTAGGGGAGATGGATAGAGGCTCCACCCCATAAGCTTACCTTCTGATATAGGAGAGAAGAACTCAGAAGAAATCGGAGGATACAAATGTAAACAGGATGTAAATGCTCCAGCTAATGGCAGCAGTTGAGAGTTGGCTTATTCCTGGCCCCACATCAGGAGCAACCATTTATTGAGTGCCTTCGATGCCAGACACCTATTGTTGAATCTCATAGAATTCAGGTTTGTTATCGTCCCCTGCTTTTAGATGAAGAAACGAGCTCCCTCAAGGTGACACAACTGGAAGGGGTGGAGCCTGGACCAAAACCCTGGGAATCATGAGGGGCAGGTTTGGTTGTCACAGTGATGTGGGTCCCTGCATCACCCTGCCACCAGAGAGCCCTGGAGCCATTACGTGGGACAGTTCTGCAGTAAAGAAGGACTTCTATTTTGAGTGATAAGGGAAATAAGCTGTCGGTGAGTTTGAGCAGAGGAGTGCTATGATCAATTTTTTTTAAAGATTTATTTATTTTAGAGAGTGTACAGCAGGGAGGGGCAGAGGGAGAGGGGAGAGAACCTCCAGCAGACTCCCAACGCGGGACTCGATCTCATGACCCTGAGATCATTACTTGGGCTGAAATCAAGAATCAGAGGCTCAGGGCGCCTGGGTGGCTCAGTCGTTAAGCGTCTGCCTTTGGCTCGGGTCATGATCCCAGGGTCCTGGGATCGAGCCCCGCATCGGGCTCCCTGCTCTGCGGGAAGCCTGCTTCTCCCTCTCCCACTCCCCCTGCTTGTGTT